CCGGAAACCCGTACAGGAAGCAGTTTAAGAGGCCTCATAACTGGACCTGCTTCGCAGAGGTTTCAGAAAGCAGTTAGGCCTAATAACTGGGCCTTCTTCGCGAGGTTTCAGGAAGCAGTTTAAGAAGGTCTAATAGCTGAGCCTGCTTCGCAGGGGTTTCGGGAAGCAGTTTAAGAGGCCTGATAACTGAGCCTTTTTCGCGAGGTTCCAGGAAGCAGTTTAAGAGGCCTAATGACTGGGCCTGCTTCGCAGGGGTTTCAGGGAGCAGTTTAAGAGGCCTAATAACTGGGCCTTCTTCGCGACGTTTCGGCAGCAGTTTGAGAGGCCCACTAACTGGACCTTCTTCGCGAGGTTCCAGGGAGCAGTTCAAGCGGCCTCTGGGTTTGCGTCGCACGGGTTGCAGGGAGCAGTTTACGAGGCCGAGCACCTGGGTCTTCTTCGCGACGTTTAGGCTTGCGTCTCAAACCTTCCCTTCAGGCCCTCCTTGAAGCCTCCCTGTGAAGCTTCCCTTGAAGTCCCCCCTTAGCCCCCGTTGAAGCCCCCGTTGAAGCCCCCCTTGAAGCCTCCCTCAGCCTCCCTTGAAAGCCCCCCTTGAAGTCCCCCTTAAAGCTCCCCTGAAGCCCCTCAAGCCCCCCCCTTCAAGCCCCCCTTCAAGCTTTCGACCCTTCGCCCCCCCCCCCCCTCCCCCCTCTCTTCACCCCACACAGTGGCAACTGCAAGTTGGACGCCGCCCCACGTACCAGGCCATTGGCAATAACTTTGATGCGCCTATCGTCCTGGCGTGCAACTTGGACATTGAAGTTGCGGAGCAGCTGTGTTTTTTTCACTGTGATCTCGTCGACCCCACATGACAAAGTGTATGCCATGATTACTCGCAGCACGTGCTTTGCGCACCAAGAGGAACTCCGAAGCCGCCGCAGCCGCCGCTTTCAACAACATAAATAAATGGCAACCAGTCGGTGTCAGCAGTCGGACAAACAGTGGTGGTGCAGTGGTGATTTTTTTTTTTTGCTCGCCTCTTGTTCGTCCGCAGGTGTCCGGTCGAGCATACAGCTGTTGCCAGGTCCCGCCAAGCGGAGTCGCTCTGTAGATAACAAGGTTAAGCGGTGGCGGTCGTCGGCGCGACATTGGGCACCGTGGTGTTCGCCAGCCATTGTTGGAAACCACTTGCCCGTCGGCTCCAACTGCTTTCCACGCTCGTTCCAGGGTTTTTCGCCCTGCGCGCCAACAAGCCGGTGCGGGTGTATGGCAAAGCGTGGTTGCCCAAACGTTCTTCCCACTTGGGGCGAAAGTTTTCGTTCCAAATGATTTACCTTTAAAGGCAGCTGTTTAGGCTGGTCTCTTTTGCAGTAAGCAGGGAAAAATTGAGCCCTGGCGTTGTAAGCGCAATGAAACATGGACCGAATGCGAGAGCGTCCGAACTTGCTTTCAGCAACGGTTCCACGCCTTGCCATCCTTGGAAGGCTTGATTACAATCCCAGGAACTAGTGATCCTGTTCCGTGTTCCGAGGATGCGCTGCGATATCGCTGCAGGTACGTTCTAGCTGGCTCCTTCTTGCCAGTCCCAATGATTCTGCGTAAGTGTAAGCGCGGCATTCACTTCCTCTTCGCTGCTTAGGAGCAATGGCTGCTTTGTTCTCGTCGGATGAGGTCCCACCTGAACATCGGGCAAGAGAGCTCTGTTGAACCGTTCGTGCTCAAGGAACGACTTGCTCTTGAGTTTGCTGTGGAGGTCACTGGAGCTTTCTTACCTTTTCGATCAATTTTGCTGCCCCTCATCTTGGGTTTCAGATTCTCCAGGTTTTGGTGCAAGGTCTGTGCGGGTGGTGAAAGGTGTGTGGATTTTGGAGACACAAAAAAGAGGGCCAGAAATCAACCCGAAATGGTGGGGAAGCCAAAGTGATCTCCACAGCGAGAAAGATCGCACGCGAACAATGCAAGACTCCTTTGTCTTGAATACCAGCTACAAGAAGAACACGCGTATCGACGGCGTTTTTTGTTTTCTTCAGTGTTGACGCAAGCAGTATCGAATAGAAAAAATCTTGTTTGTCTGTGAGTTGATTTCAATCATTATTGAACTTAAATGGGTTCCAAAAGCAGCTCAATTCTGGGCACCGAAAACGAGTCCTAGATTTTGGATTTCCTGTGTGAAACATACAAGCCACCCAGGTTGGAGCCTCAAATTGGAACCCAAGTTTGGAAGCCATTTTTGGGCCCAGTTGCGGCGTTTTTTTTCACACACGGGAAGCCAGATCTGGCTTTCACAGCTCCTCGTTGCGAGTAAAACAAATAAGCCTCTCAGTCGGTTCCAGTCTAAGTCTTGTGTCAGTCTTCCCCCCAAAATTAGAACAGCAGGCAGCAAGGCGGCAAAGTGTGAACTTGTTTGGAATCGGAACTTTCTCTAACTGTGGAGGTCACTGGAGCTTCCCTACCTTTTCGATCAATTTTGCTGCCCCTCATCTTGGGTTTCAGATTCTCCAGGTTTTGGTGCAAGGCCTGAAGGCAGAAGAGAGAAAAGAAGGGTGCAGAGTCAACGTCGGTGGAAACTGCAGCTGGGAAAAGTTCAATGCTTTGAAACAAGTGTTTTTAAAAGCCTCTGACAGTGCCGTTTGGACAGAAATCAACTGCAGGACGAGACGAGTTCAACCGTGGTGTTAATGCGTTAAGGTTGCGCGCGACGCCCAAGCCAAACCGCTTGAAAATTGCAAAGTGTATTACCAGAATGTGAATAAGTGCGAGCGAAGCGAGCGAAACACCAGAGTAAATTCAACAAATTTAACTGATCAAGTGTTGATTTTGAGGGTTTTTTTCAACATTTTCGGAGACTTCAGAAATTCTGAAAATTCGTTGAATGGTGCTGAATCCAGAGAAGAATTGCAACGCTCAAATTTCAGTGTGCCTTGAATTTCTGTTTGGCCATTTTGGAGAATCAAAGACAAGAGAAGTCAAAAAGTCGAATGGAATGGAAATCGAGGCTGGGCGACTCTCAAGTCGTTCTGGCCATGATGAGAGGTCAGTGTGATCTTTTTTTCAATTAGCAAGAACTGCAAAAACATTGGTTTTTCTTTTTGAACTTTGGAGAAATCGAGAAAACACTGGAAAGAAGCCAGAGTCGTGACACTCAGACAATTTTCTTCAGATTCAGCAGCAGATTCATACACAGCAACACTTTTTGTTTGTTTCAGTTCAAATTGCCTTCGCCCGTCTGAACTCTTGCTTTTGTTCAATGGTTTTTTGTCGGGATGATCTCTCAGTTGAGTTGCAAGCTTCAGAAAGAGAGAGTTTCGAGAAACCGCCCTGAACTAAAACACAAACAGGTCGTTCAGCAAGTGTTTTGGTGAGTGCTGTCAGCCCGGTAAGCTGTCGATTGACCAGAAAGACAGTGAAAAAAATTGCACTCGGAACTTAAAGATGTCCATAAGAACGTGCATCCGGGTGTCAGTGTGTGGGTTAAGGGAGTCTCAGAAGTGACACCAAATCAAAAAAACAGTGACCTTGCAGTGTTTACCTCGTTTTTTCATTGTGAATGGGTGTGGGGTGTTGTGGTTTCGGCGTTTTGGCAGAGAGTCGTGTCATGGAGTGTGGTGTGTGTCATTATGTGGGTGCAAACTGGCTTTGGTGGGTGGTGTGCGTTTGCGTGTATGTCGGCTGGGTTCTGCTGGCTGTTCAATGTGGAAGTGTGCGGGTGGTGAAAGGTGTGTGGATTTTGGAGACACAAAAAAGAGGGCCAGAAATCAACCCGAAATGGTGGGGAAGCCGAAGTGATCTCCACAGTACTCTGCACCCCTTCTTATTGGTGGGACTGTCGGAAAGAGGCGTTGAAGATGAACACAAACACTGTAAGCAGGTATGTACGACACTGGCCCGCATGTAAGGTCTTGCGCGTGTGCTTCTTGATGCGTTGGCCCAGGGTTGATCGGTGATCGCGTCACGATCAGTGTGGTCGTGGACTGTAGCGTCGTTCGCGACGGTGTGCGGTTCGCGTTGATGATGTTGATGCTCTGCTTGATATTGGTCTTGGTATTGCCATCCACTGCACTGCCATGGGCGCCTCTGCTGACGGTAGCCCAGATGGGGGTTTCTTAGGCTGTAACCTGTGAATATAAAATCTAATGAGATCTTGTTACGAACAGGCCCCAAAAGAGGATTTCAGAAGGTCACAGTGTGGCCTTGAAATTTATTTAACAAAATGACGAATGAGGCCAGAAGATTTCTCAGAGGAAGAGCTGTTCAGGTGTGGGCTGTGTTTTTTGTTTTTTGTTTGGCAAATATGAACTTGAAGCCCAAGAGAGGACAGCTTAGGGGATGGCTTGTGAACATAAGCTCTTATCAAACGCAAAGCTGAACGAGTTCCAAATGATATTGTTTTAGGGGGTGTGGCCGTTTTGTCTGAAAATTCCAATAGTACATATGTGATACACAGTTGCTTTGGACGAGTGAACTCTATGGCCTTCTGTTTCAATGCTTAAAATGAACCCGAATTTAAAGGTTAAGAGTGTAGGTTTAATAATTGCCAGCTTAGGCTGAAATGCCTATATCTTAAACCGTAAGCCTTTGCAAACCCAGCATTGTATCAAATGATACCACGAGCTTTCACTATAGAACAAGCACCACAGTAACTCACCTGTTTTGTAAACAAATCAGCTTCTGAGATCCTGATGTGATTCAGACGCCGTTGTACCGCTCTTGATGCTGGGTTTCGGACAAATTCAGAAATCCCAGAGTATGCGTGCTGTAAAGCTTTGCGTGACTCCGTGCCCACAGAGCCGCATGCGCAGCAGTGCGAAGCGTTTTGTGCTCGGCCAAGCCCCCGCCGCCCTAGGGTAGAAGGCCAGTCGTCCCAGCCATGGTGTGCCGAATTTTGGCATTCGCAGCTTGCCGGCACGTAGGGTTGTGAAACGGCGCGCGTCTTGGTTTTGGCTTTTACAAACGTGGCCCGCGAAAAGTCTTTTGAAGACGAAAGCCCGCAACCCTGAATATCAAAAGCAGTACCCTTGTAGATGCCCTTGGTATGGAACTCTTGTAAAGCCCCTTGTAGTACTTCAGCCTAAGCCCACGAGTGGTCAGGCAGCATGTGTTGAGGATGCAGGGCTTTTCGGTAGAAGATTACTCGGGGAAGTTTTGTTATTTCGCTTCGAATTCGGTTGGGTCTAGCTGGGACTCATGCTTGGGGCTCAAAGCCATAGGAAACGAGACAGCAATGTGTTTCAGATCGCTGCTGTGTGACTGGGTGTGTTCATTGCTTTCGGACGCGCGAGAAAGAGGAAGCACTGGTCATAATCTTAAAGAAGACCCACAGCCATCACAGCATTGCAACAAAAACAATAGGCGCATCAACCACCCCATCAAAAAACCCTAAAGCGCCCAGTGCCCCCCCAATGCTCCCAAGCCCTCTTTTTGGAAGGATTGGGTTGAGCCCTGATGCCTAAAACCCTACACCCACGGTTTAGGGTGTAGGGCCCTAAACCCTAGACCCTAAACTCTTGTATTTGAAGCTGTCTCTCGTCTGAAGCTGATCCCTCGGCTCCGGGGTGTCAGGTCCTCCTGTCTGCAGCGCGGGCGCAGACCTGTGAGGATGGCCAGACATGCCAAGAGCCCGGGAATCTCGGCGAAGAGGGGTCGCTCCTTCAGGCGCGGATCAGCGAGGGGTCGGAAATGGACACCGGGATGGAGAACAGCGAGGACTCGGAGGAACCGCGGAGGAACGGATCGATGGCAAGCTACGTGGAGAAGGTGTTGGGCAAGGTGACGGCTCTCGGTGGCAGCCACCAGAAGAACGTGGAGCTAGCTAAGGATGAGGTCCGCAACCTCGCCATTCAAGTGGCAGCAGATCCCGACTACACCGTCTTCAACGTGAGCCAGTCCAACATGAACGACGCCTTTGAGAGGATCATCGCTGAGATGGAAGATATCATCAACGACACCTTGGTGTCTTTGGACAAGGACCACAAGGAGTTCGACATCATGATCAATAATATCCTCCAGTGCGGGGTGAATCTCAAAGCCAGCAATGTGAGCGTGACGGAAATGAGCCCTGCCGTGTTGCTGCTCGGCGTCGAACATGATGTGTGCCGAAACGACACCGTTATCTTGCGGGACCAAAACCACACCGCCCAGACGAACTACTACAACTACATGGCGAACCCCAACATGCCCGACTGCGCGCAGAATTTCGGGCCAGGGACGTGCCCAGCGCAGCAGGACTTCTCAGTGCCGTTGTACTTCGACAGTGCCATTACATGTGCCAGCGAGGCGGAGAAATGGGCCGGGGCGTTCCACAAACAGGCGGTTAGCTTGAAAAGTGCGCATGAGATTGCGGAGAAGGCTGTGAAGGACAAGTATGAGGCGTGCGACACGACACAGCTGACCTATGAGCAGGCCTTCTGCACGTATCGTACCGAGCTCATCGACCAATGCTCTGCGCTGGATAATTGCTACTCCAGCGCCGTGAGTGTGTTTAAGGCGACGAAGGATCTTATCCTCAAGTCCAACTCGAGCCGCCACGTGGCCTACATCGCTGCCAGGCAAGTGCAATGCTACATCCGTGTGCTGCAGTCGGACAACCTCACAATGGCCGCAATCGAGGCCTGTGATCACACGAAGGTCGACACGTCCCCCCTGGCGCTGACCGTGCCTACTATTCCCCCCAAGCCCGCCTGCGACGTCTCCCTTGCGGCGGAGCACCCGTGTGGCACAGCGTGGGTCACCAAGAACTACAAGGACAGCACCAAGTACTGGGTCAAGGAGGAGATTGCCCACAAGAACTGTGCCGGGCTCGGTGAAGTGTGGGGGTTCACAGTTCACGTGGTCGTTGCGCAACTTTAGATTCCCTCTACGACTCTACGAGCATGTAATTCCCGAGACCACCAAGAATCGAATGGTGCCGAAACCTGGTGAACGACACATGCGTCAGCCTCGAAAGAACTGCTGAAGGCTTTGATAAGCGGCCCTTTTAAAGCCCGAACCCAAACCCAAACCCGACCCCCTAAAGCCGGAGAAGTATCCCAAACCGCAATCCAAAAGCAAACCCTAAATCCCAGAAGCCCCAAACCATCCCAAACCCCAACAGTCACTGCAGGTATGCCATGCCTGACCGAGTCCTTGAACCTCGACCTGATGCGGACTAGCGACACTTGGTAGTTGTTCAATGTGGCAAGCTTTAACAACTTCGTTGGGTTATTATGTTCCCGAAACTTCTGGGTTTCGTGGCTTACGGATTTAGTCTTCAGGCGTAATCTTAGATGCTATAGCGTGTGCAGTAGAACTGGACGAATGAGGCCAGGGTTCCTGGCGTTCAGGCAATCTTGGAGACAGCTGCCAGGATCTGGATAAAGTATACGCTTTTACTTTCTTGGGTTTCTCGAGTCGTGTGTCTTTGTGGGCCAACCGGGCTTGTGGAGTTGCTGTCGACTGGTGGAGGGGGGGGGAGGTGCTTGTTCCGTTTCTGCTGATCTGGGAGCCGTTAAGACCTTGCTCTTCCTAGGCGACGTAAGCCCCAAGCCATCCCCAAAGCCCAAATAAAACCCTGAAGAACCCTTAAGAGCGAAGGTTGCGGCGACTCGTGAGGGCCTTACAGGTGTGGTGTGTCTTCCATGCCAGAAGAGGTGTTTGGGGCTGTGACGGTGATGTGCGAAAGAAGACCTGTAAGGTGCATCCAGCAGCGGCAACAGAGCACTGAGCTAAAGCGTTTGGCCCCGAGGAATGCAGGCCGAGGAATTCAGTCGCGATCGCGCTGCGTGCAGCAAGTGCTTCAGAGGCAGAGGCTCCCAAAGGTCTAGAGTCTAGAGTCCGTGTTGCGATGCTGCGATACTCCAACAGTTCTTTTGCCTCGTGCCCGAAGCCATGCGTAGCTAGGAGCCAGATCGCATTTAAAAAAATTTTGAGCCCCCGGCGACAAATGTTGCAGGGGCTGTGCAATGTATGGCGACTTTCCCTCAGACGGTCGGGTGTGAAATCATCGAAGCCGTCGGAGAGGTGCGAGAGGTGCCAGCTGGGCCTTCAGAGCGGTACCCGAAGGTTTCTATCAGGTTCCAGTCTCCGGACGCCCTGATGCGCTGCTGCGCTTTACCATGCAAGATTCCAGCCAATGTGACCTGTGCAGGGCTCATCGAAGTTCCTGTACTGGACTCTTTCAGCCAATGTGACTAATGTGACCTATCTCAGCCTATGACGACAGCCGAGTCTACGAACAATGTCCTGAGTTGCATAGTCTCTTGCAAGGTTCCAAGTCACCCAAACCCTATGCTGCGAAGCTTTGCGTGACTCCGTGCCAGGGCCGCATGCGCAGCAGTGCGAAGCGTTTTGCGCTCGGCCAGCCCCCGACACCCCCTGGGGTAGAAGTAGTAGCAGGCCAATCGTCCCAGCCATGGTGTGCCGAATTTTGGCATTCGCAGCTTGCCGGCATGTGGGGTTGCGGTTTGGCTTCTACAGACGTGGCCCGTGGAAAAGTCTGTTGAAGACGAAAGCCCTGAACCCTCAACATCAAAAGCAGTACCCTTGTAGATGCCCCTGATATGGAACTCTTGTAGAGCCCCTTGTAGCACTCAAGCCTAAACCCACGAGTGGTCAGGCAGCACGTGTTGAGGATGCAGGGCTTTAAGGTTCCTCGGGGAATTCTGGTTACTTCGCTTCGAATCCGGTTGGAAGGGCCGAATGGTCACTAGGTAGGCCAGTGGGGCCCCACTGTGTCCTCCTCTTGGCCTTTTTTGGAGGACCTTGTTTGATCAGATTGTTCAGAGGCATGGGGAGCTGGGACTCATGCTTGGGGCGCAAAGCCATGGGAATCGAGTCGAGACAGCAATGTGTTTCAGATCGCCGCTGTGTGAGCCGGCACTTATTCCTGGGCGTGCTAATTGCTTTTGGACGACAAAAACAATAGGCGCATCAACCACCCTATCAAGAAACCCTAAAGCGCCCGGTGCCCGCCCAATGCTCCCAAGCCCTCTCTTTGGAAGGATTGGGGTGAGCCCTATTATAATGCCTAAAACCCAACACCCGCGGTTTCCCCTAGACCCTAAACCCTTCTATTAGAAGCTCTCTCTCGTCTGAAGCTGTACGGGGTGTCAGGTCCTCTTGTCTGCAGCGCGGGCGCAGATGTGTGAGGATGGCCAGACATGCCAAGTGCATGGGAATCTCGGCGAAGAGGGGTCGCTCCTTCAGGCGCGGATCAGCGAGGGGTCGGAAATGGACACCGGGATGGAGAACAGCGAGGACTCGGAGGAACCGCGGAGGAACGGATCCATGGCAAGCTACGTGGAAAAGGTGTTGGGCAAGGTGACGGCTCTCGGTGGCAGCCACCAGAAGAACGTGGAGCTAGCTAAGGATGAGGTCCGCAACCTCGCCGTTCAAGTGGCGGCAGATCCCTACACCGTCTTCAACGTGAGCCAGTCCAACATGAACGACGCCTTTGAGAGGATCATCGCTGAGATGGAAGATATCATCAACGACACCTTGGTGTCTTTGGACAAGGACCACAAGGAGTTCGACATCATGATCAATAATATCCTCCAGTGCGGTGTGAATCTCAAGGCCAGCAATGTGAGCGTGACGGAAATGAGCCCTGCCGTGTTGCTGCTCGGCGTCGAACATGATGTGTGCCGAAACGACACCGTTGACTTGCGGGACAAAAACCACACCGCCCAGACGAACTACTACAACTACATGGCGAACCCCAACATGCCCGACTGCGCGCAGAATTTCGGGCCAGGGACGTGCCCAGCGCAGCAGGACTTCTCAGTGCCGTTGTACTTCGACAATGCCATTACATGTGCCAGCGAGGCGGAGAAATGGGCTGGGGCTTTCCACAAACAGGCGGTTAGCTTGAAAACTGCGCATGAGATTGCGGAGAAGGCTGTGAAGGACAAGTATGAGGCGTGCGACACGACACAGCTGACCTATGAGCAGGCCTTCTGCACTTATCGTACCGAGCTCATCGACCAATGCTCTGCGCTGGATAACTGCTACTCCAGCGCCGTGAGTGTGTTTAAGGCGACGAAGGATCTTATCCTCAAGTCCAACTCGAGCCGCCACGTGGCCTACATCGCTGCCAGGCAAGTGCAATGCTACATCCGTGTGCTGCAGTCGGACAACCTCACAATGGCCGCAATCGAGGCCTGTGATCACACGAAGGTCGACACGTCCCCCCTGGCGCTGACCGTGCCTACTATTCCCCCCAAGCCCGCCTGCGACGTCTCCCTTGCGGCGGAGCACCCGTGTGGCGCAGCGTGGGTCACCAAGAACTACGAGGACAGCACCAAGTACTGGGTCAAGGAGCAGATTGCCCACAAGAACTGTGCCGGGCTCGGTGAAGTATGGGGATTCACAGTTTACGTGGTCGTTGCGCAAGTTTAGATTCCCTCTACGACTCTACGAGCATGTAATTCCTGAGACCACCAAGAAGCGAATGGTGCCGAAACCTGGTGAACGACACATGCGTCAGCCTCGAAAGAACTGCTGAAGGCTTTTACAAGCCCTTTGAAAGCCCTTTCAAAGCCGAACCCAAACCCAAACCCGGACCCCCTAAAGCCGGAGAAGTATCCCAAACCACAATCCAAAAGCAAACCCAAAATCCCAGAAGCCCCAAACCATCCCAAACTCCAAACAGCCCCAAACCCCAAAAGTCACTGCAGGTATGCCATGCCTGACCGAGTCCCTGAACCTCGGGCAGACGTTGAAAAACGACACTTGTTGACCAATATTGCAACCTTTAACAACTTTGTTGGGTTGCTATGTTTTTTCGAGCCTTCTCTAGGTTTACAAACGTGTAGTTCGCCAAGTAAAACTGGACGAATGAGGCCGACATTCAAGGCGTTCAGGATATCTTGGAGATAGCTGCCAGGATCTGGATAAAGTATACGCTTTTGCTTTCTTGGGTTTCTCGAGTCGCGTGTCTTCTTGGTCTTTCTGGGCCAACGGGCTTCTGGAGTAGTATGCTGTCGACTTGTTCCATTTCTGCTGATCTGGGAGCCGGTAAGACCTTGCTCTTCTGAGGCGAAGCCCCAAGCAATAAGCTTCATAAACCCCTAAAGCCCTTAAGAACCCCTATAAGGGCCCTCAAGAGCCCAGGTTGGGGCGTCGTCTCGTGAGGGCCTTACAGGTGTGGTGTGTCTTCCATGCGAGAAGAGGTGTTTGGTGATGTGCGAAAGAAGACCTGTAAGGTGCATCCAGCAGCGGCAACAGAGCACTGAGCTAAAGCGTTTGGCCCCGAGGAATGCAGGCCAAGGAATTCAGTCGCGATCGCGCTGCGTGCAGCAAGTGCTTCAGAGGCGGAGGCTCTCAAAGGTCCAGAGTCCAGAGTTCGTGTTGTGCTGCTCTAACAGTTCTTGTGCCTCGTGCCCGAAGCCATGCGTAGCTAGGAGACAGATCGCATTTTTAGAAAAATTTTGAGCCCTCGGCGAGAAACTTCGCCTGGGCTGTGCAATGTATGGCGACTTTCCCTCAGACGGTCGGGTGTGAAATCATCGAAGCCGTCGGAGAGGTGCCAGCTGGGCCGTCAGAGCGGTGCCCGGAGGTTTGGATGATGTTCCAGTCTCCGGATGCCTGCGGGCTTGGCGATGCCAATGTGACCTGTGCAGGGTCTCATCGCAGTTCCTGTACTCGGATCTTTCAGCCAATGTGTTGACTCTTACAGCCAATGTGCCAAATCTCAGCCAATGACGACAGGCGAGTCTATGAACAATGTCCTTAGCTGCAAAGTCTCTTGCAAAGGTCCCAGGTCACTTAAACCCTAAACCCTAAAACCATAAATCCCAAACCCTAAACCCCCCTAAACCCTAAACCTTAAATTGGAGGCATTTGTGCCTCAAGCCCGATGCAACGGGGTAGGATCCCTCCCACCGTGGTGTGCCGACTGCAATGGAAGCTTGGCGGCCTTCCGGCGGTTCTTTGGGTTTGGGGTTTGGGGTTTGGGGGTTTGGGGGTTTGGGGGTTTAGGGTTTAGGGTTTAGGGTTTATGGTAGTCTGATTGGGAAGGTTCCACATAAGGGTTCCTGAAATTAGGGCTCCATACCGCATGGACCATACGGGTTGGTTGGGCCAGTTCGCATCCCAGAGAGGTGAAAAAGGTCGCTGCTGTGGTCAGCACCACCGCTTCCAGGCCAGGGGTGCTATGTAAATTCTGTATGTATGTGGAGTCCAGCAAGAGTCGGATTCGGGGATGGTTGCTTCAGGGCTTCGGAGCAGGGATGGGGGGGGGGTTTCGCATCGTTGCTTGTGCAAATGAAGGGAAGGCACATCGCGTCCCATCTTTCTCTCTCGGAAGTTCGCCAATCGCCTCTTCTTGAAGGATCTGAACATCTGAACACCGTGTTGATGCTTCAATCAGAAGTGGGCCGTTTTCACCCTCAACACCGACATAGGCACATCAAAGCATGTCTAGCCACCGAGGTAAGCCAAATATAGTCGAGCTCTGCTATGTGCTGCAGGCGGCAGAGCTTGGGTGCCAGAATTGCCAGAAGGATTCCGGATTGCCGTCATGAGTGGCACAGGAAAGAACTAGCAGCATGCTGAACACTATCGTGCATTATGCTTGGTTTTTTAAAGCTAGTTTTTGTTGATGACTAGTTGAGGTAGAGTGCTGTTGCGGTATCCTCTTCACGCATGCGGCTGTACGGTTGCACTGTCGTGGCAAGTTCGTTCTGCCAGGCTTTGTCTCTCAGATGGTCGTGGAAAGTTTTGCGCCGGTTCTGGTGGATGTGCTGCCAACTACGACCACGACAGGAACAAGCTCAAGTGCCTCGTCCTGCCCTGGCAGCAAACACACACAGACAGAGATCACTCTGTATTTGGAAACATATGCAACCTCGACACCTCAAGCGCGACATCCTTAGTAGAGGGCACACAGTCCAGTGGTGCCAGGAATTAGGATAACCTGGGAAGAATACTTGCAAATGCTTTAAATGCTTGCACGCCGGCCCGAACCGTGGCACATGCAGGGGTTCTTGTGGCCACTCGATGCGTTGCCATGGGTTGGGATCCCAGGGTCCCAGCAGATGCCTCGCATGTCTTGGGCCACGGGAAGAGAAGGGGGGGGGAACGTTTGGGAAAAAGGGAGACCAGATCCTGGCTTGTT